GGAGGGAGGGCAGCGGCAGCGGGCGGGCGCCCGGGCCGTCTGGAGGCCGCTTGCAGGAGGGATTCTCCAGGGCCAGCGAGTGTCCTTGGGCAGGGTGAAGGCCTCCCTGCCACACCGGCCTGGGGCCGCTGGGAGCGCGGCTGCTGGTGGTCGGGCCGGGGGTTTGGGGGACAGGGTGGTTGTGCCGCAGGGTACGGAGCGCGGAGGTGCAGATGAGTTGCTGATCGCGAGATGCCTTCGCCTCCAACCCCAGTGCAATTAGGAGAAATAACCTGTAAACAGACAAACCAACGCAGGCTAGTTTCTAGCAGAATTACGTCTCCAAGCGTCAAACGGCAGGGCTCCAACCAGGTTCCTATTTCAAAATATTATTTTAGGCTTAAAATTCCTACTTAGAACAGTATGACTACTGACGTTTTGTTTTCCTTGGGTTCTTTTCAGAGCTGTTACCTTCTCCAGTTTTTGGTCAGAATCACATGATTCATAAATTCAGAAGAGAAATTAACAACTTGGTTTTTGAACGAGGAGTCTAATTAAGCCCAACACACACACACACACACACCCCCCCTTCGTATATTAGCTTTATTTGGAGCTGTGTGTATTGCTGGTGGGTCAGACACATACCTAGTGGTCAGCTGGCTGATGCTAAACAAGTTGTAAAAGGACTGGGATCTACCTTTTTTTTTAACACAGCAGCACTTCCTTCAGTCAGCACCCTATTAAACTTAAAAGATGGTAATTATCTTAGAAATCTCTACATCTTGCTCACAGTTGATTGAAATTGGTCAGTGAGTTCCAGAGGCAGTAAAGGAAGGAGCAGGTGGGCAGACAATGTGGTTGCAGGGGCTGGACTTTCTTCAGAAACCACACAGTGGTCACCAGCCATGACTGTCCACATCTCATGGCATGTTTTCCAGGGCTGTGCTGCAGCTGATGTTCAAAAGTTGACTTCTCTTGCCCTTGGACTTCAGTAGGTTTTGCAACACAACCAAAGGATATTTTGGTTTAGGGTCTGCCTGCCTGCCTCCAGCGAGGGGGAGCTCCATACAGAGACTCCAGGGACTATGTTGCGAATGCCCTTGGGCAGGAATAAATATTTCCATACCCGTGACCTTACACAAAACCTTCTCCTTGCAGTAGGAACACTCCCAGATTTCATTAACTGCCCATGTACTCCATATGCTCATTTGCTGAAATAAATACTCTGTCACAAATGTGATATCCTAAGTACCCAATATACAATGAGCTCCTCGTGTGCGTGATCCTTGGCACAGTTCTGGCCTTCTGTGCTGAGAGGCACCTGCGCCTAAATACTGTGCATGCCTTTGCCCCTTAGCTGCAGAATGCGAGATATTTCTGGGAGTATTCCTGTGAAAAGCAAGAATGAGAGGAGAGGATTGAGGCTTTCTGGCCTTTGCTCTGTCCTGTACTACAGACTGTTGACAAGGCCTCATTCTCTCCATTTACACTCTTTATGCATCTCTTCCCTTTTAAAATAAGGCCAATGACATGATCTGGATGTTCCTCTTGCTACTTTCTATTGTCTAGAAGAGAATGGTTCAGTTACTGTCACAGGACACACAGCAAGTGAGAGATTTTCCCTTCAAGTAGGAGGAGCTCGTGACTGCAGTGCTGGAGGCTGTGAGTTCCACCCCGTTTTCTTCTCTGTGTTCTCCATGCATAGCACAAGTTCAGACATGGAGTCTTGGAGCCACAGATTTGATAATTTATGCATTTTCCTCCAGATGACAAGTGGGATTTGATGACAAGTGATTGATGACAAGTAGGACTTGAGGTTCTTAAAGTCAGGCTACATTTCTGAAGAGAAGATGCTATCGTCAGATTACTGATAAA